TTTTTTTTTTGAAAAAAATAAAAATAAAAATAAAAAACATAGATGGCTTGTATTATAAACATCCAAGGCTATACTTTTCACTTTTAATTTTAAAGCTATACCCTCAATCCTTAGTTTTACATTATGCTACAATTGTGCTTAGTTTTAATTGCTTCTGTCATCATGAATATGATAATGGTATTAGGATTATGTTTAACGGATAAAAATTGAGGCCACGTCAGAACTTGACCCCATTGTGGTTCTTTTCTTGAACCAATATTTTATTAGTATTTAGATAATTCTCCTAATTATTTGACTCTTGCATTCAATGTTACATTTCTAGTCCAAGGATCTAATCCACTTTTGTGTTAACTGTCTCCAGAGGTTTTTGCACTTATAAACATACTTAGGACTCTGACTTGGACGAGTTAATTCTTCCCAAGATGGAAGAGAGTTTTTGCTAGTGAATATAAGCCACTTGTCATGTCGAGTGGAGCAGCCGAGGATGGGAGACCAGGAGCTGTTCCTGAGTTGTGGTTATTAGTACTTTAGTCTGCATACCTTGTGTCGAGGGAAATCAGCTCTGCCTTGTGTCGAGGGGAATCTATGTAAGTGTTTAATTATATGACCAAATATGCACTCGTATGACTAAATGTGTGTGTATACATAGTTATGCTGACTAAGGCAATTCTCTCTGTATGGCAGCTTTTTTGGAAGTGTGTAATCAACGATGATGGGATAACAAACATACATGGAAAAATTTCCCAAGTATGTGGCCAATTGTACTCAACAAGAGTGTTCATTGGATACGCCAACAAGGACCGTTAAGCATTATCTTCATTTTGCCTGTACCTGCTGACTCATCTTTATTTGTAGCTGAAATGATTGAAGGGAAAATTGATGTTATGGTATTATGACCTAGACCTCGTGGAAAATTGATGTTATGGTACTATGACCTAGACCTCGTAATTTATTGTGGTGCTTTTTGCCAGAGAAATTGTACTGTATAAACTTTGTGCAAGATCTGTGCCTTATTGGTCTCCACTCTCTACATTTTGTGGAAGAACTCATGTTAAAAAGACTCCTAATCTTATCTATTTTGTTGGTTGAACAGAACCCTTCCGGACTTGCATCCTGTTTTTGTCCATGTATTAATGCTCTAGTTAGTGGAAGTTTAAATTCCCATTTGATGGAAGTTTTTACGTTTTCCAATTTTGGTTATCTCTTTTCTTCTTATGATGAACAACTCGGAAGGTTTCTTGCAGGGTTTCTGAGTAGAGAATGTGAAATGGTGTTATATTTTCTAAATTTTTGTCCCGTTAGTGTCTTGTCTTGCATGTTTTGACATGTTTTAGTTGTACTTCTGAAATACATGCAAATATTGTGCGGAGGGTTTCCATCGATGTAACGTCATATTTTGTTTTTAGAATAGCATCTGAGTCTACACCGTTTCAATTTTGTAATACTTGATTCCTCGACTAATGATTTATGTCCACAAGAAAAGAGCAATGTTTGTGCAATGCAGGCGAAATTTCTCCGTCCCCACTGTCATTAGCTTCTCAGCACCCTCGGAATGCCTCCACTCCACGTAGTTCTCTCTACGTC